CTTCATCGCAGTCCTCACAGTTTGCTGGATTATATTTTGTAGCCAGGTACTGCCACATGGTACCAGGACGCACAACAGATTCTGTTCTTCGAATGCTACAAGTAACAGTAGCACAGAATTGCTGCCTGATTCTGTGCGTCAGTATGCCGTGGAAAACAATTTGGTACTTCCCGATGATCTCAAGAAACCGATCTGGTGCAAGTAAGTTTGAAAATATTCCACAGCTAAAACTGGTGTTGTGAAGAAATCTAGATTCAAAACTTTTTTCTTCATTTTCGTTCTCTTTGAAAAGCGAAGGTTCTCGAAGATGACCGAAGGGATAGTATTCTGTTAACTACAGCTGCCAGCTAGCAAAGTTACAAATAGTGTTCTTCATTCCACTCAGTCTTTATTATTTTCATCTCACTCAGTCTTTAATATCGTTAAAAGATTAATATTTAATCTTTAATATCTTTAATTTAATCTTTAATATCACTCAGTCTTCAATATTGACCGTTTCTTCTTTCGCATATCCATCTTGCAAATTAGTTACATGGCTATTCAAAACATGGCGGGTAGGAGGCTCCTTTTCCAGGTACTGTTTGGGTGGAAAACTTAAGGCAAATTTTCTGAGGTGCATCATTACCAAGTTTATCAAGAAAACGAATTAGTGGACTATTTGAGGACTGTCGAGTTTTTTGCTGAGAGTTTGAATGACCACTTTTAAGCGTAAGAGTAGCCCATCTGCATTAATCGGCTGGATTCCTGCAAAGAGGGATTTTGCTAAATACTTTTTAAGAATGGGAGCGAAAGACCGTATTAAAAAATTTTGATTCATATTTGCGGACTAGTAATGCAATTCCGTGAGTAGTAATCTCTTCGGCTGTTTAATCGTTTCAATGGTATATTGGTATTAATCCCTTTATAGCTCACTGATTCGTTTTGATGGTAAATACTACCAGCACCCGACCAGGCAACAGTTCCGCCATCAGTTTGCTTCTAAGAATCCTCGGACGAGCGGCCATTGATAGCTTCCCCAGTGGGCCAGAAAGTCAAACCGGCCATCAGCTTGCTTCTAAGCAATCCTCAAAACAGAGAAACAGTTGACAACTTTGCCAGCGAATGGTTGTTGTTGACTTGTCCCACTACTCGGATTACTCCAAGTGTTTCCGCCTCTGAGAAAGAATAAAAAGCCGATAAGCGGATTTTGTTTTTTAAACTAATTCATAGAAGTATGGTTCATATGTCGCGCTGAACTTTATAACTCAGATATTGTCATGTCACCGCTACGTGTTGAAAAATTTACCTGAAAATTGGGAAATTGCATAAAGTTAAAATTTTAAAAAAATTTGAGATTATATCTCCTAGAAAGCGGTTACTTAATGTTTAAAAAACGCCACACATGAATTTTTGATGTTCCTTCAAGAAGTTAGACGGTGATACAAGACTATTTCACGTGAATTTTCAAGCAAACTTAGTTCTTGACGTCCGGAAAAGTTTTGAATTTTGCAGGCAGAAGCGAAGTATGCTAAATCCAATGCCAGTATTTTACGTTCACATCCAGAAGAAGTATTGGCAAGTGGAACCATTCGGTTACTGGCAGCTGAAGAAGCTGCCCTGTTTTTTGATGGCTTCTCCTGTGGTCTTTTTCGTTGCGTACGGCTCTCTGGTGGAACTGAATCGTCTCAGGACACTGCGAGGGTGTGTTCAAGTCACAGCTTGCTTTTCTGCCTGTACATTAACGACCTCACTATCTTTCCTACCATATTTCATTAACTAATTTTTCCCCATTTCATTAAAAAATTTTTTCGGGATTTCGGCCGCTTCGTGTTTTCCACTGCTTGGATTGGCCGTTGTTTCAGAACTTTTCGTTTGGCCTGTCAAAGGCCGAAAAAAACTTTTCCACTTTCATCCGATTCGGCCGCCTGATCTGGACCGTCCATTTTCCCTTACGTTTGTTTAACATCTCTAGATTTCTACAACTTCATAAGAAGTTTTTGACCTACATATTTTATGCTGGCATGCATGGTACTAAGGTTTTTTATTACCAACCCTCGTCTATCACAACGCTGACATTCCTATTTATAATGATCTTTTTCTTGGTTGGGCTTCCATGGCCCGTTCTTTTCATGTATCACTTTTCACTGGGAGATGTATCGATGTGAGCCTTGCTCATGCTACATGAGTGACAAAAGATTTTTTGTCTTGCTTATCCAGCATCTTTGTTAGACAAAATCCAATAATCGACTTCCAGCACATGTTATCTCGATCGCCTGCACATCACTTGTGGGATCGGATTAGCTTCTGAAGCACAGTAACTACAAAATTTAGCTCATAAAAAAGAGGAAGGAAATTTGCCAGTAATTTTAAATGGACTCAGAGTGAACCCCCCGATATTACTGAGACACAGATGCACGCTAAGTGTGCTGTTTAAGACTTTTCTCGTCCTATGTTGCTTTTCTCCAGTTCCTACTTTCCGCAGATTATGATTCTTATACTTTTTATACTTTCTGCTACTTATACTTATTACTTACTTTCCACAGATTCTTATACTTTCTGATTCTTATACTTTTTATACTCTGTGCTTCTTATACTTTCAACTGTCCAAATACAGTTTAAGTATTTCAAATTCAGCTTGAGGTATGCGTGGTTCTTACGTACGGGCACTTAAAAATCTTGGCGAAAAAATTTCTTACTGAACAACTAGGTTGCTTTTAAAGAACGACTGCTAAGTGGAAATTGTACATTTACTTTGCAAAATTTATTGTGATTTATGCTAATGACCG